GGCATACAACTAATAATCCACTGACATTTCATAAAGACTCATACTTCGAGGCCACTTGATGGAGAAATCATTTGAGGAAATTATCCAAGTAACTTAAAGCAGTAATTCTGTAACTTTTTTTCTTTCTTTCTACTCACACGTTACAATATTTGTATTTGAAGCACGCTGCTTTACACTGAAAAGTAATTGCCTTATGAGGGCAGAAATGGAAATGAGTGTGGCAATTTGACTTACTGTCAACTAATCACAATTGATAAGAAGCCAGATATTCAATAATGTGGATTTTATTTCTCACAAGGCAAAAAACCCCTACCTAAAAGTACTATAATTCAATTCAAAATTAAAGTAGAATTTTATCTTTTGATGCATTTAATTTTAAGGTGAAGGCATGACAGAATGAAAATAAAATTAAAGGGGCGGAAAAGTTTTCCATTCCTCATCCAAATGACCAAAAAAAATAAAGCTTGGCCTCTTCTCTGTTTCAGGTGGGACAGATAAAGGCAGGTAATCTTATTTTTATCGGAAGGCCACACTTTCAAGTTTTATTTGGGATGGGGACTATGAAATGGCTGATGAATCAGTAAGCATCCATTTTTGTGGGGTTGAAAGAGGCTATTTTAAAAAAAAACAAACCTACATCCCTAAACTAGTGGCTTTGCCACTAAACTGTAATGTCCTAAACTCAAACTTTTTTGACAGCTTTAAGACTAACATAATGACATCTGCAATTCTGGCTTCCTGTTCCTAATTTGTAGGATCAATGGGAAAACTGTTCTCTTTCCAGTTGTGAGAGATTGGGGGATGCTGGAAAAATACCAGGACACCCAATAGGTAAGAGATTGTGTCCATAGCGTATAGTTTAAAAAAAGTCTAGCTGGCATTTATGATTGGGCAATGAAAGTTCTGCCTGTTTTTAATCTGTGTCATAGGGACATAAATAAGGCAGAGTTTCAATTGCACTGTCAGTCACCAGCTAGTAGTTGATCCTCGCATATCATATTTGACAGCCATCTTTGAGCTAGCTATGGACAATGTGGAAATTTTGATTTGATTGCTGGCAGAAGTTGAGTTGCAGATGTGACAAAGCAAGCTGAAATGTTCAGAAACAGTCCTATCAGTTCCATTTTCATTTCTGGAAGGAAGGGCATTGCTCCTGAAGGAAAAGATTCATGATTCGAACTCATGATACTTCTGAATATGCAAATAGAGGCCATGTGCAAAAGTTTTTGTATAGCTTGCCTGGTGTGCTAGCTGTAGCCAAAGCTTACAACGTGACTGTGAAGTGCTAAACATGGGCTGCCTTTGAAAATTACTTCAAAACTGCAGCGGTTGCTAATATATCAACACTTTTATTGGTTGGTAAGAATCACTATACTCACATAAGACTTGTATCAGAGGATATGCAATAGCTTCCAAGAGATTTCTTTCTGTGAAAAGTTATTAATGGCTTGCTATTTGGGGGAGATGAAGGAGTTGGAACAGTGTTTTTCTGTAATGGTCTTCTGTTTTATGGAATAGTCTTCTTCCAGGTTTAGACCCCCCCCCATGGCTTTCTAAAAATTAATTAAAGATGAAAACTTTGGAGAATGCTGCAGCTTGAGGTCACCTATGGTTATTATTGGTTGATTACTGTATATTATTGCTCATGCTTTATTTCTTTGTGTATTATCTTGTTACACATTTTATGCTTTTATGAAGTTAACTAGGAATACGTTGTTGATTTCATATATATATATATATATATATATATATATATATATATATGTATATTATGTATATATATAATATATATATATATATATATATATATATATATATATATATAACTAATAAATGTAAGAATATCATCCCAAGTACATGTACATTTTGAATAAATCCCATTTATTCTCCTGATTTACCAGGAGAAAAAAATAGAGATTGCAGTGCATTAAGTGACGTAGTGTGGAATCACAGATTTTACAGATGGGAAGCTGGAAGTTTGTGATAAAGAAGAACTGAACCACCAGTTTCTGTATATGTAGTAATAAATATCAACAGCTCATTACAAAATACTATAGCCACGGAACATAAACTTCCCCTCAAATAAAAAAAGAGAAAATATGGACTAAAAATTAAATGAAGACTCATTCTTAAGGATATAAATTTCCTAGTTATTAAATAAACATAATAATAATAAAAATGTCAAGGCAAACATCATTCTTCCACCAACAGTGGAAATCAGAGGAAACAGATTCATTTAGTGTTTTTTTAAAAATTATTTATGAAAAAATTTGCTAAAAATTGATAACATAAATTACATAACAACAGAAGAATAAAATTCTTCCGCTTACAAAAAAAGTTCTTAAAAAGCAATGTAATTTTGTCAAACTTTCCCTTCAAAAAAAGTGCCTAAGTAGCATGAAAAATGTTTGAATAGCGAAGACATATGTACTTCAAACCAAAATACACATGCATCAGTATTTGCCTTTTCCTAAAGTTGAAATGGCTTAAAAAACTTTAAGAGAAATATACAGACATTTAAAGTATTAGTTTGACAGGTTATTTCAAAAATACGTAATTCATTATTATTCTTTTTTCCAATTATTATTTAGCTCAATAGTTGTGATCATTCTTAGATTCTTGCATTACTATTTGTGGGTGCCTGGAGAAGAGAGTCGGAAAGAAAGGGTTCAATAATAGAAATAAAAATTATTTATTTTATTTTAATTTGATTTATATGCCGCCCTTCTCCGGAGACTCAGGGCGGCTTACAATGCGTTAAGCAATAGCCTTCATACTTTTGTATATTTATACAAAGTCAGCTTATTGCCCCCACAAACTGGGTCCTCAATTTACCTACCTTAGAAAGGATGGAAGGCTGAGTCAACCTTGAGCCTGAGGAGATTCGAACTTGCAGTAATTGCAGGCAGCTGAATGTTAATAACTGGTTATTAGTCTGCTGCGCCACCAGGCTCCTATTTTATCCAGCTCTCAGATCTCAAATTCAGAAATTGATGGAAAACCTTTTCCTAATTCAGTAGTTTTCAGACATGGCAGCTCTACCACTTTCAAAATTCCCAGTCATCAGGGCAACGTGACCAGGAACACCGGAAATGAACGTCTCAAAAAATACAGAAGGCCATGTAGGTTGAAAAGGTTTGATAAAAATAAGAAAACATAACCTGTTTTCATATAAATGTCAGGAAATAGTATTAGTAGGTTTTGTAATTGTTGTACACCACCCCGAGTCACTTTCAGTGAGATGGTCAGCCATATAAATTTGATTAGTAAATCAAATAAACGAACATGACATAAATTTCACAAGGAACGTCAAAAACATTTTTGAAAGTTTTTTATTCTCCGCCTGCAGAAAAATTTAAGATGCAATTCTATAGACGTCTACAGAAAAGTGAGCTCCACCTAAGTACAAGGAAACTTACTTCCTTGTAAACAGATGTAGGAATTGCAGTCTAAGGTGGCTAAGTCCCACCCCCACCATATATGCAATTTGCTTACCCTTCACGCTACCTGATGTAAGGCAATTCTGAAATACAAATGTTCACTCTCTTCTCATGACATCCTGAGTTTGCATCCTGAGGAGACATCCTGAGTTTGCATATAAGTAGCGGGTCTTCTAAAAGTGAAAATGTCCTTCTGATGGTTCAGATGTCTCCTCCATTTTTGCTCCAAAAGACATCTGCAATAATGACAAGGACTTTTTTACTTCAAAATTCAAGGCAGCAATCAATGTATTTTTTATGACATGGAAGCAATAAAAAATTAAAAATCTACTTCAGTTCAAAAATAGGGCACCGAAAACAATGAAGGTAAAAATGACAATTTGATTTTCTGAAGTAGATTAAAATCTAGCATCCGGCCTTTTGTTTTTCAACAAATATTTCTGTAAAAAAGGGTCCTTCATTAATTAATTAAACTGCTGTCAGCAGGAACTGTCTGTCATTCCAAATATAGACCTCAATTTCTTTACTAGGTCTTAAAATGACTGATTAGAATTAACTTAAAGCCAAGTGCTGCAATCAGCAGAATCATATGTTGCAGCTCATATTTACACTAGAGATGGTGTAGAGATGTTTGAAGCACACAGATATGAAAGCATTTAAAAAGGAGACAACACACTGAAAATCTAAAATGGCATCCATCAATGACTATTTATCCTGCTAATTGTAGGATTCACTTGAGGGCTGTACAAAACAGTTAAAAGGTAAATTTTACAAGACATCCAGAGACAACTGGGAATAGCTTTCAATGTATCCACCTGAGCCTTGGAAAAAATGTGGCTGCTTTAATGATTCAAAGAGCAACACTTTGTTATGCTCCCATGTGTCATGAGGCGCCTCCTTTGAATCCTTTGTACACTACTTTTTATTTTGACTCATGATCTCATTTGTATTATTTATGAAGCTTTGGTACAGATATTATACTTATTCTTTGACAGTTATCATTCACAAACTAAGGACTGGCCTTAACCACTCCTGGGCCTATTCTCCTCCTCCCCTTTCTCCTCAACTTTAACTATGGTTAAATCATTTCTGATATAAATTTTCAAATGAAGTTGGGAGTAGTTTTGGAAACTAATAAAAATACGGTCCTCATTAAAGTTAATCAGGATTTAGGTTGATACAAATCCAGTACTAAACTATGCCCTAAGAGTATCTGTGAGAAGAGAAAATTTGCACAAGGGGGAAACAGAGAAAAGATCAGAAGTGAATGTTTCCCAGGCTACTTTCTGATTATGAAATATGATGATGAAAGAAGATTATGAAACAACACATGGTATTGTTTATATTTACTTTGGTAAATTTGCATAACAATGATATTATATATATCAGAAAGATATATATACCAGTACATCACTCATTCATTTTCAATATTATTGAATTTGATTATCTTTTTGTTTGGCTAAGAGCAGTTTGGGTTTTGTAATACTTCGGAAATATTTCCCATATAGCACAGATATCCTGGGAATACCAGTTCCTAACTTTGAATTCTGCCTTATCCAGGTTGTTCTTACAATAAGAAAATAAATTAAAACAATAATTGGTAAGTGAATATTTATATTTCAATGATGAATTGTGCCATGAAAGTTAAAAATTGAGATTTGGAGAAGGGATTAATGCTGTTTTATATTTAAAGCAAATATTTGCAGAATGAGTGGAACAGACTGCGCTGAATAATAATTTAATCACACTTCCATATTTAAGATTTTTAATTTTTTACCCTGTTTCTATAGTTGGGTTAAGAACTAATTATTATTATTTTCCTGAATATCAGTTTATTTGTTAAAAAACAAAAATAAATCAAAAGTTGCATAATAATTGGAGAAAAATCTGGATAGAAAAAAAACCCAGTTTACAAACTTGCATCAATTGAAGATGATAATGTTTGTCTTAATATGTTGTGGCAGTTGAATCAAGCAATCAGATTGCTGTCAATCTGTGTCACAAAAAGTGACAATAGAAGAATGGATATTGCAATGGAAAGCAGCAATAGCATTCACCTCATCAAATACCATTAAATACATTCTGTTGCATCAAAAGTCATTGATTTTGTATATAACTATGACTAATTTGCTAAAAAAATAAAATGGGATTGCTTTATGCACTACTTTCTTTTCAGAAATAACAAAGAAGACATAAGAATGTTACTAATTGTAGAAGTAACTAAATACGCTACGTTCCACATTGGTTGTAGTTCAATTCTTATAATTCTGTATTAGCTAGATCAATTAAAAATTATGGAAATTGAATTCCAACTGAAAAGCTGGAACTTAGTGCTCTCCTAAATGCTTTGGAAAGGGAATATGCATATTCAAATGCTAATTGTTTTCCATATTTAGATAGCAAGCTTTAATTTCAAAAAATAGCTGTGATATGCTGCTAACACATGCAAAACCATCTTTGTTATCCAGCAAGGCTAATGCATCATGCCAAGCATAGGCCCTATCCCACTCTTATTTCTGCGAATTCAGGAGGTCAGTGCTGGAAGGAAATCTAAATCCTAAATCAGTCACAACATACTGCTAGACTGTTCAGCTTGAATCACTATAAGTATAGACTTAGCCTAATTACTATTTAATTTTTGTGAAACTAACAAAATCTTCATAATTATCAAGCTCTTAGCTTTATCTCTGACTATAAATTAGAAAATGCCCAATAAAGTGCAGCAAGGACATAATTAGCACATGTGGAATCCTGTATGGCATTCCTGAATGGCAAAATAATTGAAATAACCACATCTGCATCCCCTTATATAGAAGAAACCACAGGTAGCCATATAAGACCCTGTTATTGTTAGTTACTTCTTTGACTTCTCAGACAACCAGCTCACAGCTTTCTTGTACGGCATCCCATATCATAAATAGTACTCAAACACTTGTGGATCACATTATATGCACCATTAGCCCATTATTATCATGACTTTTGATAAATATACAACTGTCTATCTCCCTATATAGGCAACAATTTCCTGTTCAGAAAAATAAATACATTTGCCAGACATTACCATATAATATGTCATGTGCAGAAATAATGTGTACACAATAGTAACTTTTGGCATAAGTTGTCTTGCAGTGAAGTGCCTGTAATTTTCTTGCACAAAGGCGTTGTGTCCGCTTTGCAAGTAAAGAGGGAGAAAGGAAGTCCATGTCATTGCAGAAATGAAGATTGGCTATCCAGGAAAGGTCAGTTTCAATCAGTTTGAATCTGATCTCAGGGTAATAGTCTGTAACCAAATATTTGGCTGGTTAACCAAATCCTTTCATCAAGAAAAAAGCTGTGTAATAAAAGTTGACATCATCTTGTAACTTCAAAATTATGGCATAGATATGTTAGTAAATGTCCAGTCCTTTTTTTTTAAAAAAAAACCTTTACAATAGAACCTCTGGTCACGACCATAATTTCTTCCATAACTTTGGTCACAACCTGATTTGGTTCTGACCCAAACCTAATTTTAGAAATTTGGCGCTTACAAAAAAAATGACAGGGAAGAGGAAATTAGCCACGAAAAAAAAAATGTGATTTTTTTGGTCAGAACCCGGTTTGGTCGTGGTCAGAAGCTTTTGTGACCAGAGGTTCTACTGTATTAAATTTCATCAAGACTCAAATTCAGGAAAACAGAAAAATTAAAACAGAATAGGAAAAAGAAAAAGAAAGTCATACAGAAACAAGATAGCACAAAAGAGGAAAAGGAAAAAAAATAGAACAGGAGAGGAGTAACTTCCTTATTGAGCCAAATACAGAGTACTGTAACTTTTTATTTTAAGAGTAACAATAATACACAGTATTTCTATAACCATAAACATTTCTAATAGTAATTCCAAAATTAAAATTTTATTTCTTTCAGTTTTAAGCAAAAAATCCAGATGTAGTTTCCAGGTAGAAACAAAGCTAGTCTTTTCTTTAATCAAAACAGTCAATTTTGTCATTTCTGTCTATTAATCTCATCATTCATTCTTCCATGGTGGGGACATGCAATTTCTTCCATCTCTGTGCTTACAACAGTCTTGCTGCTATTATCATATATAACCCCCCACCCCCATTTTAAAGCTATTTTTCTCAAAGAAAAATTTCTGGTTTTAATTGTACATTTATTCCAAGAATTCTCTGAATTAAAGTTCATATCTGACCCTATTATTTCTTAGATTTCTTACATATCCCCAATGATGATAAAAATACCTTCAGATTGATTACATTTCCAACATATATTTGACACATTCTTACACATTTTTGACATTTTTAGGTGCTAAGTTCCGACAACACACATATTAAAATTGTCTTTCAAGTTATAATTTATGTCAAATTATCAATTTATAATTTAATGTAAATTTCAATCCTTTAGTCTACATATTTTTCCATTGATCAAACATTATATCAAACTCAGTTTTTTTGCCCATTTAATCTTGATAAATCTTTGTCATATTAATCTTCCATATTCATTTTTAATAATAGTTTGTATACCTTAGCAATAACATGCTCGTCATTAGTACATAAATCTAATTCAAAATCAGTTTTCTCATTTGTAAAACTAAAATTCTTCTTCTCCAGTTTCAATCTTTCTATTAACTTGTTAAGGATATCCTAACATAACTGAACATAAGCATTATGTTCATAAGCATACTACGGATAATTATGACCCTCCATTTCAAATTCCTTTCCCATTTTCAGTTTAGGTTCCCTTTTAGATTCAGTAGGTCTGAGTGACTTCTAAAAGGGACACCGTGGCTCAGTGGCTAAGACACTGATCTTGTCAATCAGAAGATTGGCAGTTTAGCGGTTCGAATCCCTAGCACCGTGTAATGGAGTGAGCTTCCATTACTTGTCCCAGCTTCTGCCAACCTAGCAGTTCGAAACCACATAAAAAATGCAAGTAGAAAAATAGGGACCACCTTTGGTGGGAAGGTAACAGCACTCCATGCACCTTCGGTGTTTAGTCATACCAGACACATGACCACGGAGATATCTTTGGACAGCGCTGGCTCTTCGGCACTGCCCCTACAGCCGGAAAATGACTAGCACGCATGTGCGGGGGAACCTTTACCTTTAGGTTTGAGTAGGTCAACCAATTTTGTAAGTGCTTCTAAAAAAAGCTTATTGGGGTGACAATCATGAAGAAATTTGGGAATCAATCTTGTTTTATACTTGTTCCAATCCTTCATTATGAAATGATTTTGGAAATACATATTTACCTTAACTTTGTCATAGCATAGGTAGCCGTGCCACCCAAATCTCAAATCATGTCCTTCTAACAGGATACTTCTAGTTTTAGATGTATGAAAATCTAACAGGGACACAGCAACAAATTGTGGAGTCTATATAATAAATTGATTTTTTTTTTAAAAAAATGACTAAAATTTGCTGGACAATTAAAATACTTCATGAAATTGCTGTCTCAGCTTGCATTCCTTGGCCATCCCTGGCTTATTGTAATGTCATCCATAAGTTATCCTTTATACTAAAGTCAGAGTTAACTATTGTAAGAAAGAATATAAGGAATACTTCCAAGGATCATAGTGTAGTTCGAATTTTTAGTGTGTGTGAGAGAGAGACCATTCTAACAAAAAAGGATATTGTTTTATAATGATACTTTTTTCTGTTGTTCAATTGTGACCAGTTCTTAACAACAGAACTTGGGCTCAATTGTCGTCATAAGTCAAAGACTACCTGTATATTCAATAAAACAAGAGTCCTACCAGTCATATCACCTTCTTACTCTAAAGGAGCATCTTCTGAATCCAAGCTTGTGCTATTATGAAGATATCTGCAACATATTATTTTCATGAACACATTCTTGGGAGACCTCTAAGAGACATCAGAGTCTTTTGATTTGAGTTCTGCAACTCTAGTTGCAAATGTTATGATTGCTGTGAAGAGAAACTGAATTGTGGCCTTCTCTACACAATGCATAGCCATTTCTGTCTCTCCCTCCTTCTTTCTTCCCCAAGTCAATAAAAGAAATCCAGATTTCTGAATTGTTGTTTTTTTTCAGCCATTTGGTAACATGGTGGAAAGAATGAAGAAATATAGATTGATTTCCCCAAGCTATCACTTTCAACTGGCCTTGTTTGTTTTCTTTGCAGAGAAACAAGGGTGATCTTCACTCTTTTACATTTTCTTCAAGACGCATCTTCATCCATCTTCTAATCTATGTCAGATTTCCATCATGTGGTGAAGCTTTTCATAGTTAAAATGTCAGCAAAGAACTGTGATAATTACCCAGGTTCCATGTTCTTATTCTGCATTGTTATAGCTTCTTCATAAGTAATACATTACAAATAAAAAGTGTGTGCACACACACACACGGAGACGTACTATATGTATTATTGTCTTAAATGATTTAAATAGCAATCAGAAACTTAAATTAAAATACTTTTTCACAAAACACAGAGTACAAAAAATGCTATGTATCATTTGCATTTATATCGTATCAGTAGAACAGAGAATTCATGTTGCTTTGATGTGCCTCTTTTAATAGTCTTCTCACAACTATAAAGTTACACGAGATATGTAAATGAACATGTAAATACTCCCGAATTCAGTGTTTGTAACAGTTATAGCTAAATGTTACAGTTTAATTAATAACAATTATTTAAAATGAATCAAGCTTGCATTTTAAATCTCTTCTTTCAACAGCTCATCAGCTGCAAATGCTTTAACAAAAGAGTCTGGCGTTGTTTTGCCAAAAAAGGGTGATGGAAAATCTAAATTGCAATTTAAGTAGAAAATCCCCAACCTAAATATTTTTAGGAATATTAAAAAAAGTTGCAAAGAATGGATTTTTTAGCATATTGACATAGAGTTGTGCTGCTCATTACAATGATAATTTCTTTATAAACCCAAGACTTCCACATTTTAATTGAATACAATTATTCTGTTGACCACAATAATGAAAAGATAATTAGAAAAGCAATATTTGGGATGAAGACAAATATGCAGATATGTGTGACAGTGCTTATGGAACGTGGTCAGAAGCACAGAAAACTAAAGTAGAACCAACCTTGTTTCTAGCAAAATTCCAGTTGTAGCCTAGCCACCTCTCCCCTAGCCACAATTTTCCTCACGTTCTGTAGATCTCAGCTGGTTTCATTCATGATATTTTAAAACAGTGGTTCTCAACCTTTTCTTCACCACCCGTTTGTAGCCACTGACCATGGCCTCAGACCACCAAGACTTAACTCAAGGTTTAAATCATAACATTTCTTCAAACCTTCGTATTCCCTCCCCCCCCGAATGACATTGTGGTCCCCCCAAGGGTCCACAGACCACAAGTTGAAAACCACTGCCCTAAAGCATTTTCTATTATTTTAGCCATATTAAGTCACGCATTGTATTTTTCTATATACAAGCTTGCAATAGTAAAGTTCTGAATTACTGAGATCTACCCTTGGCATATAAACTCTGAAAATCATTGTGGCAAAAGCAGAATGCACAGGATAGTCTTAATAAGTAGTCTTATTATGGAAGACTGTAGAAAAAAACACTTCTATTTCAAAGAAGTTACTCTTTGGTTGACTAGAATTTGCTTCATCTAGTCTACCTGTTCCAACTGAGAGTCATTTTCTAAGTTTATAAGCACTAGTTTTCTCTAACTATGTTATCTTGAATAGTTTAATTCATTGTTGTATTGTCCCAAGCTCTGCAGCTATCTTGGACCATGCTGTTAAATTTCAGTAGTGTAGTTGATAAAAATCCATGGTGCAATTTATGCCATTTCTAGATAGAAAATACAAGAAAATGATTGGGTGTGCTACATTAATAGAGTATTATCATAAAAAATGAAATATATTAGCCCTATCCATAAATAAAACCTATAAAAACATGGAATCCTTATGCGTTGTCTAGTCCTACATACTTTGGAACATCATGTCATTACAATATTCGCACAGTCCAAAAATATTTAGTGTGATTCTGGCTATAAATATTCCAACTCTCCAATCCTCTTCAAGCTTAAAATACCGAGCATGGAACTATAATTTTCCTGTAAAACAAACATTTTTATACTTGACGTGGAAAAAGATGGATTTAATGGATTCAGAATGCCTCTCAATTGATGCACTTAAAGAAGCTAGTGATTTATTTTTGAGATCAGCAATGCAGGTAAATACAGAAAATAAATTATTTATGAATTCTGTACACAATACTATTTATTAAGCTATATTTAATATGCTATTCCAATCTGACGCTTAGGAATAGTATTTTGTGGGGAAAATATTGAGTACAACAGATACTACCTTGAACTCCTGAAGGAAAGCCATATTATAAAATTAATAATAAATAAAATAAACTTGCCTTGGGTAGGAAACATTTTCACATAAGAAACAATAGACAGCTCTCATTCAAGCAATTGTACAGTATAATTCTACTACTTCAAGTTGTTAAGTTGTTATGGTTATACATGGAGTCCTTGCTTAACAATGGTAATTGGGATTGGAAGTTTGGTCGCTAAACAATGTAGTCTTAAAGCACAGTGTCACATGACTGCATAGTTTAGGGATGGCAATCCTGGCAGTCCCTGTTGCCATTGTTAGGTGAAATTTGTGGATCATTAAGTCACCATCTCCTTGTGACTCCCTGCCAGTTTCCAAGAAGCAAAGTCAATGGAGAAGTGAGGAAGAAGTTGCAAATCCTAGATGGGACCAGGCTAATGTTAATTGAGGGCTATCTGCCCTGAAAAACCTAATTTGTTTGCATATAGTGTATGGAATAGAATGCACTTGTATTCATTTGCCCTGGGATAATTGATTTCTATTTTCAATATCAAAGTAAAACTTTGTTTCCACTTGGTCTGTCCCTCTGTCAGTACTATAGAATGCATATCTCCATCCCACGCAGAAGTGTGTGTGTGTCTGTTTGTGTGTGTAGGGGGGAAGCAGAAAGGACTGCAAGAGAAAGACAAGGAGAATTCTATAGTGCAAGTGAAAGTTCACTTTGTAACCTAAAGTGTTATTTAATGTAGAGTTCCACAATTTAAAGTCAGTGAGATAGCCTCCCATACGTAATCTTGTTTTCGGAACTCCCCAGACTGATGAAAAGAACACCAGCAGAAAATACCTCAAAGGAAGACTATATCCTTTGATTGCATGCTGGTTATGTAATAAATACTTTGCAGCAGTAAGGAGGTGATTTATTCTAAACTCCCCACAAATTCTGGAAAACACTGTAGTATGGACTTTTTCCACAGGAAAAAGATGTGCTTCCCCAGAGTCATCCCTCAGATTTCATCTGCCCAGATTGTCAAAACACCATGTAAGAACAACTAACATTCCATGTGACGCCCTTCAAAAGCCAGCAAGACAGTTCATTCAGAGCATCAACTAAAGATTGGAATTCTAGAAGGGGGTGTGGAAAAAACATTTGTCTGCTTTGCTGACGCAATTCTCTGCACGTGTTTTCTGCTCCCTGCACGTGTTTTCTGTTCCTTCGGCAAGCAAGATTTTTTTTCTTAATGAAAGTTTAAAAGGGCCAGAGAGGTATGAGTGACTAGATTTAGAATATGTGTAACCCAATTGAGCCAACTTGATATAGCGAATAAGGAGAGGACCTTTCTCTATTAGAACAAGCATCAAAGAAAGCAAATTTGCTCAAGAGATTCTCCTCTTTAAATACATGCACATAGGAAGAAGTAAAACTCTGTTTAACTGCCTGAGAGTTTTCCAATGAATTAAATAAACAGGAGAAAGGCCAAAGAATTGGTTAGCATTGAACTGGCTGCACCCCAAACAGGCATGGTAGCAACATATTCACTTTGTACCATTACTTCTTACCCTGGATTAATAACATAGAGTATGGCTTAATTGACTATCTCTTTCCATTTATTCATCTAAGAGAGAATTGTATTACTCCCCTCTCTCTTTCTGGACTGTGTGACTCCAACTGGGATTAGATTTTACCAATGCCATTGAGCATGGAGTTTTATACAAACAGCCTCAAACCTGGTTCCTGCTAAAAAACTCCTTATTTACCGTCCCATCTGAAGTGGGAAAAAATACATTTCAGTCTCCCCCTCCCTTTTTTGTTTTTTGTCACCCACTTTGGGTGCAGGGCTTAGTACAGGGCTCAGCCAGGGCAACCTGCAAACCTTGAGAAACTATTGAATACTGTACTTAAGATGGACAGAAGGAAAGAGTGGATACATAAGATGGCTTCATCCTATGGGCAGGTCATAGAAAGGCCACCCCAAACTTCCGGGGAAGGCTAGCTTGAGATACACAAGTTGCCTTGCAGCTACAGGCACAGGCCGGAGAATAAAAAGCCACCGGCTATGCGATCCTAGCTGTGCCTGCCAGATTAAAGAGGGAGGGCACTAGGGGAGGCAAGCCATCGCTTTCTGGCGGAGGGGGACAAAATTAACTGGGCACCTCACAGCCAGAAGGAACGCCTTTATGACTTGCGGGGGAATATTGTCCCGGCACCGAGCTACCCTCCGCCCCCTCAACCCCCCCCCCCGATCTTCCCTCCTCTCCCCGGAGTGCCGTCCGGAGCGCGGCTGGGTTGCTTTGCAACTTTCTTGCCACCCTCCTTCGGCTTCCCGTTTCTCACCAGCGTTCCTCAGCTTCTTGTTCCTATACACGGACAGGATCACCAGCAAGTTGCCCAGCAGGTCCACCACGATGGTGAAGATAAGGATGACGGCCAAGGTGGAAGCCACCCAAGGGGGCTTGTCCAAGGTGAGCTGGTCCCTCGGCCCTGAGCCATTCAAGGGCCCGCTCCCATTGACTGGCATGCTGAGAGTCACGCTCACCGGACGCCCATGCCAGCGATGCAAAGTTGGGCAGCAGAACTTCGTCCCTTTCCTCCGCCCGTCCTTAGGGGAGATGCTAGATGTGGACCAGGCGGGGCGGGGTGGGAGGATAACGGCATCACTCCGTCTCCCCGTCCCTTTGCAAAAGAGCCGAGCCGTCGCTGCCCCTAGCGCCGGACGCTTCCCATCGCCGTGCGCCCCACCTCGCCCCTTTACTCAGACTGGGACGTTATGCATGTGCCTCGTTGAGTTATTTTTATAGCATCCCCACCCCCACCCCCTCCTACTCCTCGTTCCGCCTTCATCGCCCCGACGCTTCGGCTGCTGCCCTTGCGTCCGGCATCCACACCTCAGCGCCTCTTTTCCCCCAAACACACACAAACGCCCCAACAGCCGCCACCGTTGTCTCCAGGTGACATTCCGCGTTGGCGTCTGGCCTCCCCTTCCCGAGACACGTGCGGCGCGAGGGGATTCCAGCTGCCGTCCGAGTGGGCAGCGCGGGCACAGCGCCCTCTTGCGGCCTGCGCGGGAATAAGGGCTTCCATTCACGGGGAAATTGTAAGCGGGGAGGGTCTGTGCGGGCGCGGGCGGGCGCGAGCGCGCAAGGTCCCATTCATTTCCCCCCCCCCAGGCTTTCCCTCCATTCATCTCTTCGTTCGCTCATTCATGAGTTCTACCGGGGTTCATTCATGAGATTGGTCGTCGGTAGGTCCTGGAGAGGCATCACCCAGCAATTTTTCTATCTTTTGCCACTTGAAGTAGCGGCTGGATAGCCTTCGGGAGGGCTTTTTGGGAGAACGGAAGAGCAAGAGGAAGATGAGGATGAGGAGTTATTTATTTATAATAAATGTGAATTTTATGTACGCTTTCTAAATCGATTTTTAGTTAAATAGGTAAGGAAGGGGAGGAGTGGTTGGGAATGGAGGGAAGAAAAAAAATACTGATTCTGAATAGACTGCTACACAAATTTCCTTTGAGTACAGTATTTGCTTTGCAGGAGGAATGAGCAGAGAAGGCAACATAGACCTCTGCTTCAGGGGAGGAAAAGAAAACAGCAAAGAAGAGTCCAAATGTCTTATTTTTATTCTTTACCTAAATCAAAATTAGATCCTGTAATGTTTATGCAATATTGCGTATGAATTTAGCAATATTGCTTATGAATCTACCAAAAGATGCAGATTGTGAGATGCAATGCAGATTTTTCAGTTTTTTCACCAGGATGGTCCTATCTGAAACTGGGATCCTTTCCATCCCATCTCTCAGGGGCCTGCTTGATTTTTCAGTGGAGATATTGCCAGCAGAATAATAGTATGCTTATAGAGATTATGAATCAATGCCCGGACAGTGCTATAAACCAGTATTTCTCATCTTTGGAAATTTTAACTTTGACAAACATTGCTGTAAAGTAAACAGTCTAATCTGTGCAAAACAAACAAACAAACAAACAAACAAACAAATAAATAAATAGCAGGGAAATTACTCCTTTTCCCCTCTCAGAGAGAAAGCTAATTGTGTTTATTTTTTAAAGGTGTGTGTCATTAAATTCAATTTGTGTGCAAAACATGTTTATATTATTCAAACAGCCTTAAAAATACTAAGCAAATAGTCCATAGAGCTAAATGCCCTCTCATTTTGGTTTCTAGCTGAAAAGAAAGAACAATGTCTTATATGCTCTTATCAAAGCTCAATATATAATTATTTTGACATTTAGAGACCTGCCCCCTTTCTTTTTTCAAAGGAAAAAAAAAATTAGAATTTACTAACCACAATGCACCGATCCTTAACCATTTGGTGATTATGTCATTTTGAAGTCCTTGACACCAAATAATGAAAGATACTGAGCTGGGCTATAAAAAGGAAAAAAAGCGATCATAATCCAAAGCTTAACAAGCTGAATAACAAACAAATGAAAAAGTAGGAAGTGATAGACATGTAAAAAAAAAAAAATCTCTAAGAAGATGCAGCAATTTCCTATGGTGGCATGCCATTTGCTAAGAGGGGGAAAAAAAACCTGTGCTAAAAATAGCATCCAGTGCTCTTACACGTGCCTTATGCTACAAGGAAAATTTCTCTGATTTGTACTGATCACAGATTCAGAGGAACAGCGGATCAGAAAGTGAGGAAGAAGGATGATGCATCACTATACTAAGCCAATTTTTGTCAATCGAGCTATTCTTGCGAGAAAACAGACTTGTTAACATCTTTCAAAAATTCAAACAGTATCCAGGATCTCTTTTAATGCCATGGTAATTCAGGCCGGTGTTCAGGTATTATATCTGAAAGAAAGATGATGCTCTGTTTACAATAATCCCCACCATTCAAATGTGGATCATAATTTTGTGCAATATCCAACTTCTCCAACTCTAATCTTTGCTGTCCTAGCTTCAGTGCTGTCTCTCCATTCCTGGAAAACTTGGGATAAAATTTCCTCTGTCATAAATATATACATGTGACATATTTGCACATATGTTTATGTATCTGCGTATGCTGAGTTGCCACAGCTACATCAAAAGACAGCTTGGCTAGAATTATTTCCTTCCAAATTTATACTGCTTTTATTGTACATTGCCCAGAGTCACGATCACGAGATGAGCAACTATATAAAGGTGACATATAAATATTAATTGAAATAATTACTAATTTAAAATAAATTACTTTTAATATAAAGTAGGTTATTTATAAAGTTAATTGATTTCCTGCTGGCATATAATACATATAATTTCCTACTGGCATATAATACATAAATCAGTCACAGACACATGCATGCACACTATCTTACTTGCTGCAGTAGAAAAAGGAAAACAAAAAAGACAGACAGGGCAGGCGAGAAATAATATCTAAGGGAAGGAAAGGGAGTGGAAATGAAAGAAAGAACAAACTAGATGGAAATGATACAGAAATGTGTAATTAAGCAGAGGACAAAAAAGAGAAGGAAGTCTCACTTAGGCATTATCAAAATTATCCTTCTCTAGAGGATAAAAAGCTGTTAGAAGAGACTTCATAAGCGGAGGAAAAAAAAATCCTTGACAGGGTGGGATGTCACCATTTTCCTCCAGGCAAGCATAGTGCTTGATACAGCTCTAATTAATGTAATGAAATAAGTAAATAACGTTCAGTAATGTCAAGAATTTGATATAGAATTAAGGAAGCATAAAAACTTCTTAGTCCAGAAATCATTCTGGAAGTTGGAACAATGCCGCTCCATTTTAGGTAGATCCAATTTTGAAAGATAGGGTGGAAAAGGCACTCAGTGAGGTAAAACCAGAAGCAGAACAGAAGATTGTTCTGAACAAGATGGCTCCAAGTAGTTGTAGATCCCAGAAGTCACTGCCCTGTCCTCATGTTTTCCAACTAAACTGCTTTTTTCTCTCCTTTATGCCTTTCAGTCTACAGTTTTTCATCTTTCTAGTTTGTAAGACTTAGCTTATTTAATTAAAGTAAGTATATTCATATACTATTTTGAAGGATATAATGCTATGCTTACCTCAATACAATTCAGGAAAATGTACCTTTTTATCTATCCTCAGTCAATTGAGTTTCTTGAAATCTTGATGGCCATTCTTTATTATTTCAACTACAGTAATTTATTTTAAAGATATGTCCAGTGCCTGATGCTGTCTCTTTGTGCTGGTATATACCCATTAATGCTGTATTTCAACAATGGTGTAATTAGGTGGTTCATTAAAAGATGTAGTTCTTTCATTTCATTTGGGAAGATGGATCAATTCTGTGTATTTTGTTTTTATGTGATCTCTGCTTACTTTCCAGAACACCAGTTTTACATGCACTTTAATGAATAAGCATTCAGGTAATCAAGACATGATTCATTACCTTCCCTTTTAAACACAGGTATCTATTTTTTATATACTAAATGTCACCAACATAAACATTGCTGATGGGTAACATTATCCCAAATTCCTTCCTCTCCCCTTTGATTTTCCTTTAATCAAAACATCTAGACCAGGGAGAAGTAGTATTCATTAGCAATGAGCCAAAAATGGCATATGTATTTGAAAGAAAATCCTTTTTCAGCTTGGAGAAGAAATTGAGTTTAGGGAAAATCTTAGGAAGTTTTTGACTTCAAATAATTTTGTAGGAGTTGAATTTGTAATTTGAAGCCTCTAGCTTTCTGCAGTTCAATTAAATTGCAAAGAGGCTATGAATGAATTCCTTCTAGGAGCTATTTCTTATCAGGGATTAAGGGCAACCACATATACTGCAGGTAAATAATAAAATACTTAAGTACACTATCTTAAGTTAAAACATTGGCAAAAAGTTCTACAGTATTTCTTTGAGAATTAGAGAAAAAATAGGAGTTTTTCACAGAAGAAAAAAAATGGAAAACTGGAAAATACATTTTGGTGCAGTATTAATCCATTCTTTCTGCTTTCCTTTTCTTCCTTTGTTCCTTTATTTAACCACTTTTGCTTTTCAATGCTGGCTGAGGAATTCTGGGAAAGAGAGTCCCATGAGGTTGAAAAACACTGTTGTAGAGAGTTCAAGTGGGCAATTTTCTCCATATGGTGTTTCACCAGTTGTAAAAAGCAGTTCTTTGCAGTGGAAATTGTATTATGCCCTATTATTGAAATGCCACTTTAGTGGATGCCATTTTTGATGTAACTACAAATCTCTATAAAATCAAGAAAATGTTCATGTTATAAATCTCTGTTATATGTATTTAATGTTTCAATAGGAAGCCTTATTGCAAATTCTTCCTTGCAAATTTCCCAGCACCTGCCAAAATCACTGACCTCATAAGATTCCATTTACTAGATTTACTCACTCTCAGAAGAGTAAAATTGAATAGAAAGCAGCATTTCTCCAAGGCTAATCATCAAATTTTCTCAGTGATGCTAAATCTCTTTGAAAATATGTTCTCATATTGGTTTTTTTCTAACATACAGATAGTCTTTGATCTATGACCACAATTGGGGCCAGAACATCCATCATTAAGCAATTGTGGTCATTAACTGAGACATTTTATTACCTATGACCTCTTTTGCTGTGATTATTAATTGAATCATGAAGTCAGTTAAGTGAATTGGGCTTTCTCAATTGACTTTGCTTCCCAAAAAGCTCCCTGGGAAGGTCACAAATGGTGATCATGTGACTATAGAACACTGCAACAATCGTTAAAGTGTAAGGACCAGTCATAAGTCACTTTGTCCAGCACTGTCATAACTTTAAATGGTCCTTAATGAATGGTTGCAAGTCGAGGACTACCTGTATTCCCTTACCATCCCTGAAATGCTCTTAAGATCTAATAGTCAAAACTAAAAACAGGTAATCCTCAAGTTACAAATGTAATGGACTCTGCTAATTACATTCGTAACGTAAGGATTCGTAGGCATGAATCACGTAACTTGAATATTATCACTCCCTGCTTTCGCCTACACATTCGCTAATCAAATGTGTGAGTCATTATGTGCATGAGGTATCTCAGGGTGGGGAAGACCATTGGGGGGGGCTACCCA